TATTTTTAAATCATGAATGAATTTATTTTGACTTTTTTCCATTAAACTTAAATGAAATGACAGTTTTTTTCCCCCCTCCCCCTCCCCCTTTTTTCTTAAGTCAGGCTAACAAACACTAAATCATATGCAAATCATTTTCTCATGGGAAAAATATCTATTAGCCATATTTGTAAAAAGTTAAATAAAAAATATTCAAAATAATATTGTTTTAATAAATTTTTATTGAAAAAACTAAAATATTTTAGTTTTTTAAAGCAGAAATAAAATTGTTTTATTTTTCTCAGATTAATTTGTTGAAATGATATAATTTGAAGTTTTTTTTTTTTTAGATATCTAACTAATAAGCACCAATATCTTTTTATATTCTATGCAAATTAATTACCGCTTATTTTCCATTTATGTTTTTTCTGTTAAGCTATAATTGTTTGTCGTTTTCACAACTTAGCTATCAGCAAATTTGAAACGATAGCAATATAATTAGAGTATACAAAAAGCTCAAGATGTTTTGCAATTTTTTAATATCAAAATATACCTAATTATAACCACACAATGAATAATATATAATGTAGATGTTACTTAAAACCCATCAATTAATTGTTGAAATTAAAAGTCTTTATTTTTATTTTTCTCATTTAATTAAGGCAAATTATGTAAATGAGCCCCTTCACTTTACTTTAGGTAAATGATCACCCCTCAACGTTTTTTACTAGCAAATAACCTCATTTAGTTGCCAACCTGGGCAAAGTAGCCCTCACTGGACATCCTCCAACCATAGAATATTTAAAGTTAAAATTATAGTTATAAATCGTTGGTGCGAGAGGCAAATTATGTACAGTTTTAAGGTTAATTAAGCTATAACTTGGGGATATTTATCATTCAACAAAGAAGCAAGAAAAAAAGGAAAAGCCCGATTTTAAAATCACACAAGATTTGGAGAAGGGATAACAAATTCCAAATCTGAAAAAATGGGGCAAACTGAGGTAGTAAAGGTGAAGAAAACCGAAGGGACATGTGACGGATTGATGATGCCACCAGAAATAAGGCCAATTTGCGCAGAACAACAAAAGGTGGTTCTCTTCGCCTCTCCCTTAGGATGAAAAAATCCTGATGGGAGCCGCAGTTTACGCTCCCAGATGCTGCGACTTTTCTCTCTTTGGTTGCTCTATCCCCTATGAATACCTTCCCATCGGTCTCCTTTCTACTTTTGATGTTTAGAAAACTGTGATAAAAAAAACCCCAAAAAGCTTCAAATCCACTTCAACCGCTTTTGCTACCAAACCCTCTAGCAAAATCTTCGCCGTGCACCTTTTATCGAAGCCAGTTGCTATTGTTCTCTTGCTCTAGAATTCCCACATCGCATCTGTTTGGATCTAGAGGAGATTGATCACAAGGGCACACCGAGGACCCTATGTTTTCATCAATTTGATTTTAATTGGAGTTCTTGAGTTGGAGGATGGGTTTCTAAGTCATGTGATTGCTTTGCAGGTAACTTCTCTCCCAGATGAAATTGCTTTTACTCAATTCGAAAGCTCCTTCTTAGCATTGGATATTCAATTCAGGGTCCAAAGTTGTGAAATCTTAATTGTAGGTTTAAAGATTCAATCAGTCTTTTTTTGGAGTTATTTAGTTGATTTTAGGTTAGCTATACTGTTATGCATTTGTGCTCCGATGTGTTGGGGAATTGAGAGTGTTTGTGTTCTTCTTTGTTGTGTTATGGTTTTGATTGGGAGGCTGGATTTGTGCTATATTTTTCCTAAATTCGGTATCATCAGAATCTGTTTTGGGGATTAAATTGGTTCATCAATTTGGAGATGGTTCTGAGCATAATTGGATTTTTAGGAAGATTGATGGCGTTCCCACCTCTGCTTGTAGAATAGCTTAGAGAATGGCTTTTACCAAGATGTTGGGTGTTTAACTAAGGGTTTTGGTGCTTTGGGAATTATGAAGAGTGATGTTGGCTTTACTTATGTTTCCTATTTATGTTATGTCACTAGTTTTATTTCTATTGTTGCTTTGTTAAGAGAAGGGGATGATATAAGGAGAGGTACTGATGTAATTAAGGGGTGGGTAGTACGGAGTAGGTCATTGAAAGGGAAGTTGGCTGTTGGAGAATTTCTTTCACGAGCAGTTGCTGGCTTTCCTCTCTTGATGGATCTGCTTTTCCAAGCACTGCCAGGGGGTATTTTTTTTTTAAAGGATCTCCATTAAACCTCTATGTGTCTTCTTGTCGGTGTTCCATGGCATGAGGTATCTGTTTTAGGCAGGTTGCAGGAAGGGTTATCCTTCCTCTGTAGCTATGATTCCTTGGATCCATCTCTTGCCTTTGTTATGCATTTGCTGGAGTGTTTTATCATTTGGTAACTTTGTTTTAGTTTGTTTTTCTTCTATTGTTACTGTCTCCTTGTCTTTTTAGGCCTTGTGAATCTTTGTAGGGCTTTGGTAATGTTTTAATGTTAGTACTACGTTTGTTTTCGGCAAAAAAAAAAAAGGAGGTTTATTTGCCAGTGAAAAGAAGTTGAGGGGGGAGATTGTCAACCTAAAGTGAAGTAGAGGGGTTATAAAATTTGCCTATAATTAACATGTCACGTGAGCTTAATAATAATCAAAGTATCAAAGTAAGACGCATACCTTCTCGAGGGTGAAAAGCGGTAGTTGAACCGGAAATGCGCCAAGGCTCTCCACATTTGTTTCTTTAATTCCTGCAAAATGATACCCTCGAAATTTTTTTAACATTGGCCACTCTGTCACATGTTTCCCTGGGTAGAAACATTTGAGTCTTGGTAGAGCCCACAGGTAAAGAGTCGACAAACAAGAGAACACAAATGTACGACCTGCTTCTTCTCTTTCGAATGCTCCGACTCTCTTTGTCTCTATCCCACGATTGACTAACCCGAACTCTTCAAGTTGCTGAAACCCCATAGCCACTGAAGCTGGAAACATATTTTGGAGGTTCGGATGACCCGCAGCTCTCACGGACTGCAAGTTTTGAAAACTGAGAATATCTCGGGAATCTTTGCTCCACACATGCTTCAATCTTGGTAGATTCTCAATATTCAATTCGCTTAACAAGGTGTCTTGCGCATCGTATGACTTTCCGATGTCTACGTCTCCAAGCTCAAATATCGTTTCTACACTTCCACAAGCAAATACTTTCAACACCTTTAGTGATTTGCATAATCTTCCTAGTATATCAGATGAACCAATTGTCAATAATTTCCCACAATGTCCAATAGCCAGCAATTTTAGTTTGCGAAATGAATCTGCACGAGGTTGGTGGTGCCATATGATCCTCAAGTTCTCCAATCTAGCGATTGTCAATTCTTCCAAACAGGGAAATGCAACCTGCATAAATTTTCGATTAATCAAAACTAATGCGGGATCAAAATCAATTAACAAAGTTGAAGGCAAAATGCAAGTAAGTATTCTAGACATGAAAAACGGAAAATAAAAGGGAATTAAAACAAGCAAAAGAATCACCTTCGCATCAAATAGAGGTGATTTATAAGCATTTTCTCTTTTTTTACTTGTTGTCACGTGACTTGTGTCTCCAATGATAGGACTAGAGATGAACGTCTCCAACAAAGGGCACTTGACTAGAGCAAGCTTTGTTAGGGAGGGGAACTCTGAGCAATTTCGATGGCAGAATCCTGTGAGTCTGGGAAGGCCTTCAAGCCTTAGTATTTCAAGGTTACGAAACATCATTTCTTCTTCTTCTGCTATTCCTTCTGTCACTATTATCTCTTTCATCATCTTACAATCACGAATCTCTAGCAATTCGAGTTGCCCCAGACTTTTAATCATTGAGGAGGTAAATAGATATTTCAAATTATCACATCCAACTACAGACAAGTATCCTACACTCTGAATGACAGAAGACATTGCTGATGAAAGTTGTTTGTTGAATATTTGTTGCATGTTCACTGAGGACAGTACCAACCGCAGAAAGCTGGAAAACTCAACCTGCAAAGTACAATTCTAACTTCATGAATACATTTTTTTTAATTAAAAAGTATTAAAAATTTCATCATTAATGATTCCAAAGCAATGACACAAAAAATGACTTCACATTAATTAATACGACAAAGATAAAAGTCAATTAAAATTCTTTCAAAAGAATGTCTTACAAAGATGTACGTTCAAGCTAAATCATTATCAATGAATCTGTTTATCCTTTAACCATAATTAGGAGTTAAAAGTGGGCTTAATTAAGCGCAACTTTG